GATCCAAAATCAGTAAAATTAATTTGAATAATACAGGATTCATTACATTCATTTTGTGTCCACTTAAATCGAACAAGGATGCCTAGGTCAGGTTTATATCTATTATATACATACAAACATATGTATATCATGTGACATTTGGGTAGCTTCGCCAAACATTTAAGGAAATTTTGGTAAATTTATTGACAGAGTTTTCTAGGAAGACAAATACTGATCGAACATTTGAAAGTTAATACAGTAACTATACTTTTGAAATTAAATGTTATACAAGTACTTCTAAAACCAAATATTGCACATAAAAACCATCTTTTATAACAACTTTTTTTTTTGTAAGAAAACACCTTATAATTTTTTTTATTTTTTTTTATTTTTTTTTTGTAAAAGCACACCTAATATCACTTTGTTTTTGCGAATTAACACCTTACCCTGGTTTCCGTCCTTTGACTTAGTTTTCAGACATTGACTTGCATGTGAGAAGCACGTGTTCCGATGAGTTCCCCCTTTTCTTATTTTTTGCCTTTTTTCCCCTCCAATTTACCCACCATTTCTCCAATTCAACTTTCTCTCTCCTCCCTTCTTCTCCAACAAAGTCCCAATTACTCACCATTGACGAAGAAAACTCCATTTTTAAGCGTGAATTGCTGCAATTAACCTAATTTTAAGTAAGGTAAGTTGTTGTAATTACTGAAAGGTTGGGTTTTCAAATTATTATAAATTAGGGTTTGTAATTGAAAATTAGGGTTACTATTTTTGCCCACCAATGATAGAATTAGGAGTAATTTTGAGGGGCCAATGTGTTAAGGATGCACAACAATGTGGTCTTTGATTCTTTATTTTTGTTGTTGTTGTTGTATTGGGCTTCAATGGAGGAAGGAAGTGAGCAGGTGGGGTGGGATTTTTGGGTGGATGGGGGTGAATTAACGGGGGTGGAATTTTCATGGGAGTAGATTTGTTGGGTAAGATGGTGTTGGTGAGGGTGGTAGTGAATTGGGGATGGCGATGAGGTGGTGTTGGTGGGGGTGGCAGTGAGGTGGTGGTGGCGGTGAGGTGGTATTTGTGAGGGAAAAGAGAAAAAAAATAAAGGGTTTTATGAGATCACGTGACCCACACGTCCAAAGTCAACGCCGAAAAGCCAAGTCAAACGCCGGAAATCAAGTTAAGGTGTTACTTCGCAAAAAAAAAAAAGTGGTTTTAGGTGTGCTTTCACAAGAAAATTTTTATAAGGTGTTTTTTCACAAAAAAGGTGTTATAAAAGGTGGTTTTTTGCAATTTTCCATGATTAATTGATTATTATAACGGGTGTAAGAAAGATCAACCAAGAGCAAAGGCAACGAAATCACCTATTGATGTTGTTTAATTTACTACTAGATATATAGCTAGACAAAGAGAACCCTGTGGTGGATCGTTTGTAAAGGAAGTGCAAATTCAGCTAGGGGCCTAGGGCATACTTCTCTTTAGGTACGTTCTTTGACATTAAGTAAAACCTCTAAAATCTAGTAAAAGGAATTGAAAGGCAATTAAAGAATCGGTACTTAGTATTTTTTGGATGCAAATAGTAACTCCCATTGTCAAAAAGACCGACCTATGGAAGATTAAAATTGATAGAGTATTAATACCAATTGAGTTGGTTATTAATTAATATGGTATCAAGAGCTAACATTACTAGAAGGTTACAAATTTGAATCTCATCCACCCCTCATTTCAAAATGAAATATTTAGCATTAGGTAAACCGGCCACAAACTTCCTTGTTGAATTGAGCTCGATCTCTTAGCTACTACACCAGTTAATTAAGAGCTATAACAACTAATTTTGTAAAGCTGATGAATCACGTTTATATAGGATTTATAGGCACGTTTATGCTAGTTTTATAGTTGTTTTTAGGTCTTTTTGTTGCTTTTTAGGTCTCAAATGCATAAGTTATTTGTTTTGTACTCTATTACGCTCCGTTTGTGTTTTTATAATGTTTCAGGTGATTTCATAGTCATTTGGACGCTTTCGAAGTATTTGGAGTTGATTCGAATGATATTTCGATAGAAGCCGATGAATAGAGTTTATTAATCGAAGATCCCATGTTTGTGGATGGTGATTTTGAGATTTATATGCACGAGGAATGAATCTAGAATTCACAAGGGTCACTGTGCATCTTTTGAAAATAGATTTGAGTTTGAAACGAAGAAAAACGATGGTTTACAAAGTGTCAAAACAGACATTTGGTCACTCTTTTGATCATAACTTGAGTTCTACATATTGGATTGAAGTCAATCAAATTTTGTTGAAAAGTAGACTTGAAGAGCCTTCCATTGATATGTCACACGCCCCTATAAAATTCCTAGATCTTGAGATACAGCCCTTGAAAGGTTGACCCTGTGAAGCTGCCAACACATCGCCCAGCCATCGGGCGATGGCCGTGGTGTGCGCTCGTGCGTGAGCTGCTGCTTGGGGCGCTGGCTTTCCATCGCCCGATGGTCGAGTGTCATCGTTAGCCATGAAGTCAGATCATCGCCCACCCATCGCCCGATGGGTGGGGTGTGCGCGCAAATGATGAGGAATCTTACATCGGTTATAACTCTTTCAATCGACCAATCGTTAGACCACTTATTTTTATTTTCTTATTATATTTATTTATTTATTTTTAGATTAATTGTAGGTTAATATAAATACTTAACGGATACTATTTTTCCCTCATGCCTTTTATACCTTTTATTATTTTTACGTTCGTGAAAGTTTTCCTTGGAACCCTAGTTTCTCAGGGTATCTCCATGGATTCTTCCATGGATGATTCTTGGGTTTATTATTTCAATTCATTGAGGAATTTCATTTCTATTTATTGCTTTTAATTATGTTTTATTCCTTAGAGTTAATTTTAATTATTTATTTCATGTTTGAGTAGTTTTATTTCTAGGGTTTGGGAATCCATGTTTATATGATGAATCTTAATTGATGTTATTGATATTTTAATTATTAATTTCTCTAATTGATAGTGTTATATTGTTAATCTTGCAACCTGATCAATTGTTTAATTAGTTATTGTTAATAAGAGTTTGAATCAAAAGATCTTACTTTTAGAGGCTTACCTACAATTAGCAATTCAGAGTATGTTAGCGACCGAACTACATATGTTGAATTGAGAGCATTAAGTCCCGACCGTAGGCTTAGAACTTGCTCTAGATAATTGATTGATTGAATTGTTATTGATATTTGATAGATTTGGAACTATAAACATGGTGAACCATAACCCTAGGTCTTTTTATTAATTGTTTTATTCTTATTTTAATTTAGACTTTATTAATATCCAAATTTTGTGACATAATTTAGTTTCTCCATACCTTGAAAGCTAGATTGAATACCATTTCCCTATGGATTCGACCCTACTTACCCTACTATATTGTTAATTGATTTTGTTAGGAATTTATTTTTGACAAATGTACGACAACCTATCAAAAGCCGGTCGAATAAACAAGACAAGGATCCTATTATCTCAGTAATCTCACAACCAAGAGATCTACATTACAATCTACGGAGTACTCTGTATTAACTATTGAAGTCCATGCTGTCTAGAAGATTCCCAATTTTACTAGTCTGACACGATCTACAATTTCTAACTAAACGTACTTTTTCCCTCTTTTGTTAATTATTTGTTTTTGGTGTTCCCTCTTGAGGATCATGATTTAATGAGCATTAACTTAGTAATTTTGTATCACTTTGATTATAAATACGACCTAAACCACTAATTACCTCAATTAATCACAATAATCAGGTCATTTGAACAACCAGCAATTAAAGAATATGCAAGTATCTTTTTTTCTTCAAAAAAAAAAAAAAAAAGTATCTTTTTTTTCCCTATTATTTTTTAAGCAAAGTAGAAGATTCTTTATTCAATATACAAGTATAATTTTGGCACAATGCCGGTTATTTTCCGACCCTATTATCCAATGGTTTTGGGTTATTAGGGTCAACCATTTGCTGGAGGAAGGCTATCAAATAATTATAGTTGTCCAATAGAGGAAAGAATGAAGGCTGTAATTCAAATAATTTTTCAACAAACATCTATTAAAAGAATTGTTGAAACTATTGAATAGATATTGAATATGTCTCTTCAGATGATATAATCATAAAACAAGGATTAATGTACATGCTGCTGACTCTTCAATGAACCTATGTGTTGCTCGATAAGCACGAATCAAAATCCTCTGTCTTAATTTTTATAAATCATATATTAGCCTGGTGGCTAATTGATTAGTTTATACAAAGTAATAATACAAATTTAAATACTTGATAAAACAAAAATGCTTTATAATTTAAATATCAACCTATTAAATTAAATACCATGTACATCGATCATAAATGAAATAGTAGATAATAGTGTGTATTAGATCAATCACACCAATTAAAATTTTTAATTATGAGGATCAATTTTTTCAATTAGAGATTATAAAGGTGGTAATTAATAATACAACAGTGATATTTTATCTGTGGATTCGGCCAAGTAAATTGTAAAATGGTGTTGTTTAATGTAAAATCATTGTAAAAAATATGAGTATATATGTTTGATAAAATAACACCCACCTCCAAGTTGTTCATAGAGGTCAAATGTTACAATTGGTACACCTTATGTTGATGACACGAGATGAGATACATTGGTTGCAACCTAGGGTTTGCCTGTGAATTGCGAAAAATATTGACATCCTCAGAGATATATATATTTATATACTAGCATTGACGCATTGTGTAGCTAGTTGTATAATGTATTGCCAGTAACGAGTTTATTGAGAAGATGACTATAATCATATAGATTATGATTAAAATTAAATTAAAGTGACCTCTCATATGGCTGAATACAATAATGTTAAATTAAAATATATTATAAGTACATATATAGGGGGTATTCCTTATAATGGTTAGTATGATAAGTACGTTACTCAAGCTATGCATGAGTTGTACATATCATTATCTCAGCATATACAAAGTCAAAGGGCATTCCTTAATTATATTATGATCATATAATTGATTCTTTGTAGTTTGTACCACTTGTACTATATTATTCGATTAATAAAAAATAAAAAAACTAATCAATAATTAGCTTTTTTGCCTAATAAAATTTTAAAATCACTTTCCTTCTTTTTAAGAAATAAACAAACTAGTAATTGATCAATAATCAACTAATTGTAAAAATAAATTTATGCCTTAAATTGCTTGCAACACACAGGGTGTAAATTATTTTTTGGCAAACATTTTAAGAAAATTAAAAGGATAAGTTTAATTAATCTACTTTTAAAATTTTTATGTCAACCTGACAACTATAACTTTTTTTAAAAAGAATTATATACACCGGATGCAAGGTGCACTCAAGAGTATTTTCTACTCATTTAGTAATATCTTTTGCTCGTTTTAAAATCTTAAAATAAGAAAAAATATATCAAATGATTAATAAAAATAAAAAATAAAAAAAAACCACCTATCTCTATGTACAGTTAAATGTATATAAAAACATTTTAGATAGAATTTTTATGTGTCAGATTCCCCCTAAAAGGACCAGAGGCCCCCCATAACTGGAATATACCACATTTGATGCAATTAAGAATTTTAATCATTATTGTTAATAAAACTTCAGACTTTGTAAACCCTTTGATAATTTATATTTAAATCTTTATTTAAAATAGTAACCCTTCAACTCTACAAATGTATATTCACCCTTTTCTCCAAACTTCCATTCAATAAAATATGATTATGGATGATACCCGTTGGGATCTTCATTGGCCTCATTATCACCTTTTACATTGTCAACGTTACATACTATACGAGTATATATACTCTACGAAGTACTTGTATCCAACAACGTAAACTAATACAACAATACATATATACAAACAACACCTTAGTTACAAACCCTAAAACCAAAAAAAAATAAAAATAAATAAAAATAAAAACAAAAAAAGTTCATCTATGGCTACTGGTGAGCCCGGAAGCTCCATGCATGGAGTCACCGGAAGGGAACAATCGTACGCCTTCTCGGTCTCCCCCTCCACGGTCCCAATAGACCCGACGGCCAAGTTTTCTTTGCCCGTCGATTCAGAGCACAAGGCCACAAGGCTTAAGATATTCTCCTTGGCAAAGCCTCACATGACCACATTCCACCTTAGTTGGATATCATTTTGTGCGTGTTACATATCCACTTTCGCGGCTGCTCCCTTGGTTCCTATTATTAGGGACAACCTTGACCTTACTAAGAGGGATATTGGTAATGCTTCGGTTGCATCCGTCTCAGGAAGTGTCTTCTCTAGGCTAGTCATGGGAACCGTGTGTGACCTCATGGGACCAAGGTACGCTTGTGCGTTCTTAGTCATGTTGACCGCCCCTACGGTCTTCTGCATGTCGGTTATAGACGATGCAGCTGGATACGTGGCGGTGAGGTTTATGATAGGTTTTTGTCTAGCCACTTTCGTGTCGTGCCAATATTGGATGAGTACCATGTTTAATGGACGGATCATTGGGTTGGTTAATGGAACGGCGGCAGGGTGGGGAAATGTGGGAGGCGGTGCAACCCAACTTCTTATGCCTTTGGTTTTCGAGATCATCCGGCGTGCAGGAGCTACACCATTTATAGCATGGAGGATTGCCTTCTTTCTACCAGGAATGTTACATATTATTATGGGTATTTTGGTGCTAGCACTTGGTCAAGACTTGCCTGATGGTAACCTTGGTGCCTTACAAAAAAAGGGTGAGGTTGCCAAAGATAAATTCTCTAAGGTAATTTTCTTAAATACTCAGAATGTTTCTCAAATTTGTATATTCAATTCCCTTCGTCCTTCTAAGTTTGTCCAAGATAATAATTTTTACTTTTGTACGACCTGCTTGAAACATTGATACTCTTTAAGTCATATTCTTACCATACTTACGAGTATTACTTAGTAGAACAATCGAAAGAGGAACCTAGGACAGGATGTAGTGTGCAGTAAATATACACTAAATGAATGGAATTAATAATTAAATTTATGCTATTTCTAAATTAATACAGGTACTTTGGTATGCAATATCCAACTACCGTACATGGATCTTTGTGCTCCTCTATGGCTATTCTTTGGGTGTGGAGCTAACAACTGATAATGTCATTGCAGAATACTTTTTTGACAGGTAGTTTTCATATTTCCCTTAGCTTGATTATTTGTATAGACTTCTAATAAACTCAGATCAACATATTATATTACTAGACGTTTGAATATTTATTTTTGTTTGACACTAATCATGCTAGAAAGTATCAAATAAATCAACAACTCGATAGATAATGTAGTAATGTACATATAGAGCTGACATAAGTCGAGTAGGGCATTAACTTGGAGTATTTATTCATCATTAACATGAAATTAGGGAGTATAATATTAGTGAATTATTGCTAAGTTGAATTTATATTACAATCTTTATCATATAACTTCAAATTTTGCAAATAAATTTATTTAAAAAAAAAAAAAAAACCATTTTTTTTTTATTTGATAACGGATACACTATTTATATTATTGGACTACTTTTCCATCAGATACATGTATGATATCCCATCAAGCCATGCCACTTGTCTAGTTTGACTTCATCTTGAATGTGATTGGCCTATTAATATTCTTTAATTAAATTAAATTAAAGTACGAAATTATTTTAACATTGGAATCTTTCGATCAATATTCTACGGGATAGAACTTAGATTCTACACGTATACATTAGCTAAATTATAATGTGTATGACTTTTTCTTAGAGCTGTGATTCAAACCCATTTCACTCTCATACGTCAGTCTAATGATTCTCATGGATCGGAGAATCTTTAGCTGATAACATAAACATTATGTATTTCTAAAATTTGAACATATGTACTAATAAAATTAAACCAAGCAAGTTTAAAGTTGGCTTATCCAACTACAACAGTTGGGTAGCCATTATAAATCTTGAATCAAAGTTTAAAGTTGGCTTATATAGAACTTGTTTGGTAATTTGCGGGTAGCTTTATTTTATTAATTGGTTTGATTAGCTGGTTGTATTAATAAGTAGTTAGTAGCATATAACTAATACAGTAGTTGTAAATTGTAAGTTGTTTCTTTGTTATAACGAAAAAAGTCAAATATTCGATAATCTTAATTATATGATGGTATGATTTGACAGATTCAACCTCAAGTTGCACACAGCAGGAATCATCGCAGCTAGTTTTGGAATGGCTAACTTATTTTCCCGCCCCTTAGGAGGGCTAGCTTCCGACTACAGTGCACGTTACTTCGGTATGAGAGGCCGACTTTGGACCCTTTGGACCTTCCAGACCTTGGGTGGTCTCTTCTGCGTATGGCTAGGCTTAGCCAAGACCCTACCCACTGCCATCGTAGCACTAGTCCTTTTCTCACTAGGGGCTCAAGCCGCGTGTGGGGCAACCTATGGGGTCGTCCCCTTCATATCTCGACGATCCCTAGGGATCATCTCGGGCCTCACGGGTGCAGGAGGCAACATTGGATCCGGATTGACTCAATTTATATTTTTCACCGCGGGTAGTTTTAGCACTCACCGAGGTCTTACCTACATGGGAATCATGACTATTGCGTGCACATTGCCCGTGACCTTGGTGCATTTTCCGCAATGGGGTAGTATGTTCTTACCCCCTACTAAGAATGCTAATGAGGAGGCTTACTATGTTGCTGAGTACGACGACGACGAGAAGAGAAAGGGAATGCATGAAGGAAGTGTCAAGTTTGCTGAAAGTGCCCGATCTGAGCGAGGTGGGAAGTCTGCTGCGGCTACCCCTACACAACGTCCCAACCCTAACAATATTTAATAAGTTACTTTCGTATTTTATTTGCTTTTGGCTTAAACAACAATGATATGAGATTATGATGAACTCCTGTAGTAAATTATTGGAGTTTGTTTTATTTTTATGTTTGGTTTCTTTTTTTTATATATATCATATATACTTTTGGATTTTTGGCTCAAGAGTTATGGAGATAACCTTGTAGCAAGTGAATTTTGCTTGCAATAACTTACATACATGTATACTATTACTTCTGTATCTTCAACAGTTCTTGCCAACTTTAATTTAATTTAGAGGTCTTTCCTAGCCTTATAATGGCTAAGGTATGTGCCTCTTTAATCTTGTTTTTTTTGTTCAATCTTCATTTGCCTTGTAATATTAAGAACACACATGACTACACGTACGTCTACTCACGCTTCAATTTATATAGGTTTGTGTTTCGCCATGTACCTATGCAACTTTCTCACAACTGTAGAAAACAGGAAATTAAAGGGTTGTGGAATTAACTAATTATTTTTGAAATTATATAATTGGTTAATGGATAATTAATTAATTATGCCACATATGATATACAACAGTTACCTAATACGGAGTATATTTTTTGGACACTACATTTTTTTGCATACACCCATAATTATCTAAGAATGTGTGAAGGGTTTGCATACTAAAAATGTAAAAAAGGAGGAATTCCCTATTCCTCATTGAGAAATAGGTTTTGTTTCTCATGGGGGTAGAACCGACATTCCACCTAATATAAGTCATTTGCTGGATGTGTGATGTGGCCTCATTATTCTTACATGTTTTACTTGGTTTTCCAGTTGTATTACCTGTGGGTATCTCACAGTTGACACCGTTAAACTTCAACGTTTATGGATTTTTCATGGGTTAAAAAAAACAACTCAAAATCTGGGCGAAACTCAAGTCAAAGAAACCAAATTCGAAGAAGGCATGAATTCTGGGTTTTCAACTCGAATTCTTTGAATCTCAAGTCAAAGAGGTCCAACTCGAATTCTGGGCGAAACTCAACACGAAGAGGTCCAACTCAAATACTTGGTTTATCCAGGTTCTTTCTGAATCAATTTCAATTCGAACTGGCTTCTTGTTTTTTCGAATGTTTTAGGGTTGAGGGTCGATGTTCGGTACGTCGATTGTTTCAATTGACAGAATTATTTCGGCGAGGATAGTTAAGGGTTGCAGTTCCAGTTTGGATTTTTTTAGGGTTGCAGATGCAAAACCAAAGGTAAAAATGGTATTACTTCGACTTTAATTGTTAATTTATGGAATTAGCGTAATATAAATGGTTATATTATTTGGAATTAAATAATGGAATTATTGCGATTATATTATCTGCAATTAAATAATGGAATTATTGCGACTATGTTTGTTAGGGTAATATTAATTGGATGTAGATGCATGCAATTATGCTGCTCTGGAATGTTCAGTTGATTGAACGAGGTGAATTATGCTGTTGAAATGTTCATTTGATGGAATGAGGTGAAATTATGAATAATCAATCCTTGCCTTGAGACAAGCTTTCCTCAAAAGTCCAGTCCTTAGTGAACAATTCTGTAGGAATAAAGCAAAATTTGACAATCTAGACATGCACAACATTGTCTCCCCTAATATATGAAGTCATAACTCAATATTGTGCCTAAGCTTGGACTCCAATGGACAAAATGAATGTAACAGCATTAAAATGAATGACAACAGAACAACAGGTAGCATTAAGAACTATCTAACACTGAAAAACACACATTAGTCTGATAACAGAATAAGTAACATCATTAAACCAAGGCAGAAACATAGCAAGTAGGGCAAGACCTCCAACAGAATAAGATGCACTCAAGCATTGCAATTATTATCTGTATTCAACATAGGAACTATTCTGCTACAAAATTATCTACCTACCAACAACACACAATCAGAAATTTGAATTGACAAGGATGCATATTACATTATTAATAAAAAAAATATCATATATACAGCAAATATAGCAAATAAGCAGGGCAGGAACATAGCAAATTTATAAGGTAGGAGGAATATCACAATTGAAGTTATAATTGCATAAGCCACTTACCGTGCACACTTGCCAAGTTTCTTAGGGATCTTGCTCATGATATGCCATATGCACCAACGATGCATCGTGTTTGGCATGACTTCAGCTAGGGGCCTCCGCATACACTACTAGAAATAGGCCGATTTACGACGGACCAGTTCCAACGGACATGTTTTTCCGTCGTAAATTCCGACGGAATTTTATTCCGTAGGAAATTTACGACGGATTTCCTACGGAATAAAATTCCGACGGAATTTATGGACTTTCCGTCGGAATATTCCGTCGGAAACTTAATGTGTTGATGGAAATTAAATCCGTCGGAAGTTTCCGACGGAATTTTCCAACGGAACCTTAATGTTTCGACGGAAATAAAATTTCCGACGGAAAATTCCGTCGGAATATAATTAAATAATTAAAAAAAAACAAACCTAAAAACCCAAAAAACCCTAATAACCCAAAATTCCGCCACTCTTGCCTCATTTCTCTTTCTCTCTCTTCTCCTCTTTCCTCCTCTCTTTCTCTCTCTTCTATTTCCTCTTCTGTGTTCATCTCACGCTCCATCTCCTTTTCTTTCCTTTCTCTTTCTCCTTTCTTCTCCTTCCTTCTCCTTCTTTGTATTCTGTTTTCATCTCACGCTCCGATCCATCTCCTCTTCGTCCTCTTCGACCACCACAAGACCAGCACCAACAACGACAACACCACCTACCACCGCAACGACACCAGAACATCGACAACCAACAACGACGACACATTGTAAACATTGTAATTTTTTTTATTAGTTTCATAATACAATTGTATATATATTTAATTTGTTCGATTTCAAATTTTTTGTGTATTTTTTTCGGATTTCTGAATTTATTGTACGATTTGGGTGTTTTGGATTTTTTTTTGTAATTTTCGATTTGGTTAATTATCGATTTGATTTTTGTTAATTTTTTATTTGGTTTTTGTTAATTTTCTATTTGGGGTTTTTTTTCGATTTTGGGTTTTTTTTTTCGATTTTGTTAGTTTTGGTCAGGGTGGGTGGGTGGGTAGGGGGTCTGGTCTGGGTGGGGAGGGGGGTCTGGGTGTGGGTGGGGGGGATTTGGTCTGGGAGGGGGGTCTGGTCTGGGTGGGGAAGGGGGGTCTGGGTGGGGGGGGGGGGGTTGGTCTAGGAGGGGGGGTTTGGTCTGGGTGGGAGGGGGGGTCTGGGTGTGGGTGGTGGTCTGGGAGGGGGGCTCTGGGTGTGGTTAGGTGGGTTAAGGGGGGTGGGTTAAGGTGGTGGTGGTCTGGATGGGGAGGGGGGTCTGGGTGTGGGTGGTGGTGCCGGAGATAGCAGGGCTTTTTTTTTTTTTTTTGTAGCAGATTCCGACGGATTTGAATTCCGTCGGAAATTTACGACGGACTTTCCGGTGGCCGGAAAACCTCTTTCGATGAGAAAATTCCGTCGAAAAACACTGTTCCGACGGAATTGGCCATTTCCCTACAAAGGGTGTTCCGACAACCAGTTCCGACGGAATTTCCGTCGGAACAGTGTTTTCCGACGGAATTAAGGGTGTTTCCGACGGAATTTTTCCGTTGGAAATGACCTGTTTTCTAGTAGTGATAGCTGCCGCTTGGTCGGTCAAAATGGCATTAGGAGCTCAGTTATTCATGCAAGCTAGCCACTGTCAAAATATCCATGCAGATGTATCGCAGTCTTCATGTGAAATAAGAGCACATCCCAACAACAACGATTGCCCATGGTGGTTCACACCAACAAAGTTCGCAAATGGGAGCTCGTACTCATTTGTTAGGTATGTTGCGTCGAAGCAAACTGCATCACCAAAGTCCTTATAAGCTACCCTACTTCTTGCATCCACCCACAACACATCCTTAAGCCTCCCTTCTTCATCCAAACGTTGAGCATGGAAAAAATTTTGGTTGTCGGATTGCATTTTTTCAAAGTACTCCATCATTGCCACCGAGTCCCCTCCAACCATCTTCAACCGCCTAGCCTTATACACCTCATGTTGTAAATCTTTGACAGTGGTAGGCATGTTATCCATTCTCTTTCATTCGGTCGCCACGCAACCATGTATTTGAGAAATTGGTACACCTTGCTCATTGTAATCCATCAACTTCTTCTTCACTTTTGAGGTCATGTGCTTCATGTGGTACTCCTTCACAAGCTTAGAATTGCTGGATCAATCTTGTGATTATGCTCTAAGTGCACGGTCTTCAACACCCACAAGCCCCTTCATTAACTTTAGCATAAACACGGGCCTCACATTCACACTTTTTCGAAGTCCTCTTCCTACGACTTAACTCATCCTCACATACCACCCCATCAACTAAACCACCTGAACCTCCAACACCAATTGCCTTTGCCCTCTTCTTCGCTTCCCTCCTAGCCCTCATGTCGGGTTTTCCCCAACACTCACACTTCCACGTGTTTGCAATTCTTTGTTTGTCCGTCTTAGAATTTACACCTTGAACTCTTGACACTCCAAACCCCATCTGCTCAGCAACTCCTTATAGTAGGCTTCAACCTCTTGGAAAGACTGGAAAACCAACCCTTCCTTAGGCTCCTCAACAATTACAATTATTTTGTTGCTACCAACCACAGTGTAAGTTGTATGAATTGTTTTCAAGGGGGATAAATACCTAACATTCATGTCAACTGCACTTACACCAACACCCTGAGCACAACTATCTGCAACAACTATGTCTTCTATACCCTCCATATCATTACCCTCCTCCATATCAACGTTACTCCTAAACTTAACTCCACTGCCCCTATCACTAACACCAACCTCACTGCCCCTTATAACGCCTTAATTTTCCATTTCCATGGGCTCCATCAAAAACAATTCACCCTTTAAATACAGAACACCAACATAATTATGATACAAATTAAAACACACATAGCTCTATTAACAAGGCATACTACAACCACTTGAACAAAGTAACACAAATCAACCAACCAACACGTGTTCACAGCACAAATTCAACTAACAAAGTAATACAACCAACCAACACAAATCAACCAACCAATTGAACAACCAACAAAGTAATACAACCAACTTTCAAAAATTAACACAAATTAACCAGCACGTTTTCACAACATAAGACTACAACACATTTTCAAAAAGTATAAATTGCATTTTAAACAAAATCAATCGGCCATTTTCAGCAACCTTAAACCCATTTTATCGCACCGATTGAACCTCATAATCCCATTACTTTCAAAATTATTCTGATTTCGGTCGCAATTATGAATTCAATTTCATGAAATGTTGTCACATCAAGAGAAGAACTAATCAAAACCCTGGAACAGAACAGAACTTACGACTGGAAGAAGCGACGAAGAAAGAGAATAGTATAGAAAACTTCACCTACTTGCTACTTCAATGGCATTAGACAACTTGAATACCTGATTTTTTCATCTGGTCTAGAATCTCCATGAGCTTCAGACCAGAGCGCCATTGATAGAGAGGAGAAAGAGAACATAACGGCTGATAGAGAGGAGATGTGTGAATTTTTTACCGTTTGCTCAAACAGGGAATCATTAACAAGGTAACGCCATTACTCAAACAGATTGACACATAGGCTGTCCCCACGAATATGACTCAGCACCTCACGAAGTGAAAAACATCACATTATTTTCCAAAATGCTATTATGAGAAACGCAAGTGTTTCTCATAACGAGGAATTGGAGCTCCCTCGTAAAAAAGGTGATTCTAATTTCTAACTACATACAAACCCAATAAAATTCGATATTAAAATCAACTTGTAAAAACTAACGATCAACCGTTACATTTATAATTTAGTCATCATCCGTTCCTCCCTCGTCTTCAGCAACATAAAAACCAAGTCACACGAGAATTGTCCCAAACATAAAATTGGGTACAAAAAATCAAGTTACTCGCAGTCTCACTCATGGAGTCAACAGCAGCTTCAAAGCCTAAATCAGAATATTTAGTACCTCGTATCTCTCAGGTCAGATCCTGCACTTCTGGTATTCAATTAATTCGTGGCTTTCAGATTTTTTTTTTTTTCTTTTTTCTTTTTTGAAATTTGTTTACTGATCTGAATAAATAGATTCAAAAAAAAAAAAAAAAAAAAAAAATAAAAAAAAATAAAAAAAAAATTGCAGTTTAAGATAGCTTTGTGCCAATTACTGGTAACTACTGATAAAGATACCAACTTGAATTGCGCTCGAAACATGCTCGAGGAAGCTGCTGATAAGGGTGCCAAGCTTCTTATTTTACCTGTAACTTTCTTCACTCTCAATTTACTCATCTTTTGTTGTTGTTGTTGTACTTAACAGAGCCACAAAGGTAATGATATTTACGAAATTCGATTTCATGCTTTGGCTTTTGACTATCACTAGTACACCAAAATTTAAATCGATCAGTTAATAAGCTTGTTTAATTTATAATTGCAGTTCTACTGTTTGATGAATTGCTGCATTTTTTTTTTTTTTTTTTTTTTGAAACCAATGTACTTATATGACACAGCCTAAGATTAATCATGTTACATTTATTGTTAATACTTGTTGATGATGAATATAGGAAATGTGGGTGTGCCCTTATTCCCATGAATACTATGCAAAGTGTGCTGAAGAGCTTGATAAAGAGGAATCATCACAAGCTTTTAGTATGTTATCGAAAGTTGCTAGCAGTCGTAAGATCACAATAGTTGGGGGGTCAATTCCAGTGAGGAAAAATTGTAAAATTTATAACACGTGTTGTGTGTTTGGACCGGATGGAAAGCTCAGAGCTAAGCATAGTAAAGTAAGCCCTCTTGTAATGATTGATCATACCAAGTACTAATTAGCTAGGTGAACTTCTATTGGCTGGTAGTTAAATGTGAAATTCTGTTGGTTTTGAATGTGCATTTGCAGTTGCACTTGTTTGATTATTACGAACCTGGAGCTTCATTTAAGGAGTCGGATTCATTCACTGCTGGAGACACACCTACAATTGTGGACACAGGTATTGCAGTACGTTACTCGAATGAAGGCTTAGATATAACTCCTGACATTGAACAGAGTTTCCAGTATATATCCAAAATTTACAGTAACATTGTAGTAGTATTATCTGTTCTGTATGTTATTTGTTTACCCTCTCAGACAACAGATGCTTATTCTTGTAGGATTCCATGTGTTGCTACTGATATATTCTGTATACATTTCACTTCGTTCTTTAGGGGGTGATTAATTTACGCTGTTTGTCATCAATGTTGTCTTTAACACATACTGCTAAAAATTCAGATGCTGTCAAAGAAAAGCACATATACTTCTTGAAGACTCATGATTCTGTTGCATTTTAGGCTGAACAGCATGTATTGTATATATGTTTGCAGATGTAGGCCGCATTGGGATCGGTATCTGTCATGATATACGCTTCCCAGAGCTTGCTATGTTGTACAGAGCAAAAGGTTCTTATATTATATCTCGTTTTGAATGTGGCACTACTGAGCTTGAAATATACATAATCCCGACATGAGCTACTATGTATGCAATGCCAGGTGCTGACTTGATTATTTATCCTGGTGCATTCAACATGAGCACTGGAAAAATGCTCTGGGAACTAGAAACAAAAGCCAGGCAAGTACTTAGCTAACAGATCAAAGTTCCGCCTTAGAAAATGTGTTTGATATTTGACCTTGAAAAAGCATTATATGGCATTTAATTTGAGGCAAGGAGACTGATTTATACTAAAATCTAGCCATTTGTGTTGGAAGATGTTTGCACTTTATATTTGTCTAAATGTCTAATGATTGAAATATTTGGACATGTCAATCTATCTCCTAAATCTGTGATTTTGGGTTCTTTGACATGTACACCTTTTCAGGGCTATTGATAATCAGGTAGCACTACTATCTCTTCAACCCCCGCCTAGTCTTGTGTAATCAATATAAAAGGACGATAATGAGAATTAATGTTTTGAATTTATCTTGTAGGTGTTTGTTGCTGTTTGTTCACCATGCCGAGATTCAGCTGGATCTTACACAATTTGGGGTCATTCCATGATTGTTGGTCCAGTAATTACTATAGATCCTACACTTTTCATGCATACTATATTATGTTTTGATATTAAATTCTGACGATTTAAGAAATCATACTGATGCAATATCCTGTTTTTTATGCATTACAGAGTGGTGAAACAAAAGGTAGAGCAGAACATGAAGAGAATATTGTAATTGCTGAGATTGATTATGCAGAAAACCAGCTTCAGAGGTACTTATTACCTGTCCATTTTTAATTTTAGTAAAAAAGTCTCAAATTATCACATTTTCTTATCTTGATCTGAATGTTTGCATGCTTTGTTCAGAGAGCTCTTCCCTATGCTGAACCAACATAAGGAAGATTTATACAAATTACTGGATACAGAATAGTCGAAATTCGCGAACTATGCCGAGTCTTGTAGTGCTTCATGACTTTGTTCTTGTAAAAGCTTATTTTACTCCATGAGATGTATGCTAAATTGCTAATGGCCTGATGCTGGCGAAATTTTAGCCTGCAGAAGAGTTGTACTACTTCTATATAACAAATGCTGTGATTTCTTCTCTATTTTTTTAGGGTATAATGATGTAACATCTTATCTCAATGTAATTATAGGAGAAAAATGTAAGGAGTGAGTCCAACAACAGAATTCCCTCGCCCCCTTTGAACAAGAAATTATTTAAGATCATTACTTTGTTATTTTGTCAATGCGTTGATTGGTTTTGTCTAAACCATAGTACATCAAAAAAGGATTTGAAGTTTAACAATAGAATACCTACAGTAAAATGCTAATTTTGAACTTTTTCACTTGTAATTTTGCATGTATATTTTAGGATTTTACATTTATTTATCTTTGAAAAGTTGAAATTACAAAACTAGTTAATAATATTGTTCATCCTTAATTCGTTAATTTAGTAGAACGACTCATGAATGCCTTGTATTTAGATTCAACAAAAAGGGGAAGATCAGCAATCTCTATGTCAGTTTAAACTCTATTGGGTTGCCTAGTAGCGATGCTCAGAGTGATATTAAGGCCTTACCCACCAAAGCCGCTGCTAATGAGATGATGATAGAGAGCCTTATCACTACGTCCAATGTTCTCACCCCTTTGGAAAAGGAGGACGATGATGCTACTAGCTCTCCAATCAACCAAGATTCTGGACATGTTAAGGACAAGGGACCAAGGAAATTTCATGCGTTTCTCAACGATCACGAAGTAATCAGTCCCTTAAGATTTTTGATTTGTCTTATTCGGATCTTTGTCAAGGGAAAATCTTGAGTTTCTCCAAACATTATGTTGTATTGATGAGTCTATTTTATATATATTTTTATTCCCCGTCCCACGGTCATATTTGTGCTTATTTTAGCTCTACGGAGCTATTTTTTATTACTAATAGACATTTTCTAGTGTTTTTGTATAGTTGGTATTATTTTGTAGGAATTTGCAGAATTATGATAATTCCCAAGCTTATTAAGCCACTACAAAGATATTGGAGTCGGAACGTATTTTATGATCGTATTTTTAAAGCCCAAGACCGAGTTAATAAAATTTAGTTCGGTGATTAAGGGCTCGATATGTGAAGATATCCAAGATTTCACAAGTTATTGTTACGGACCAAACAAATAAAGAAGTTTGGGCTAGAGAACTCCATAAGCCCAAGTCAAAGACCTGCGAAGCGTGGTAATTGAATGGGCTCAATCTCCTTGGGTCCTACTCTAGTTGACCGAATTAGTGGCTTTGGCTCCAAATTCACGCATCAAATATTCTTAAGAATTGTGTTTGGCTTTTGGGGAGGAGTTTGAGTAGGAATAGGAGTTGACTTTTAATAAATTCCTTCTCTTTTCCTATATAGGGGGGAGTAGTAGTATGTAGGTAGTTCTAGTTTCCTTCACTTTTAGATTAGTTTAGAGCACTTACAATGGTGAGCATTTTATTTGCTCATGGGCATATTTTGTGAGCAAATAAAATGCTCATCAATTACAATGGTGAGCAAATCCAAAATACCAATAAAAAGCCCATGGGCAAATCCAAAAACGCCCATAGCTTAGGCATTTTTACTGATGAATAGTGTTAGAAGTGGGCCCCACAACATGCAGCGACGTGTAAAAAAATTTGGCTGCCAGCATATCAAAACGACGCGTTTTGGGCAAGCAGCCTTAAAGGCGCGCCTCAAAACGCGTCGTTTTGAGGTTCAGAAATTAAAAAAAAAAAAAAAAAAAAAAAAAAAAAGCAAAGTTACTGTAGCGCGTCAGTGTGTCCGCCAGTGGGAGCGCGCCACGTGTCTTGTGCAGGCTGTTGGCCAATGAAAAAATTAGAGCAACGGTAATAATATTTGTATTTCATTTTCTGAAAAATATATTTAGTAAAAAAAAAAAAAATTACCAACGGTCATAAAATTAAATTCTCTATAAATAGACATGCATTTTGATATATTTTGATATAATTTCGTAATCACTTTAAATCCTCCACTTTTTTATTTTCTTAAGCATTTTAAATTTGTAGAAGAATATATTTGTTGCAAAACATCCATATTGAGGTAAATTTTTTTTTTTTTTAATATTTAAATTCAGTTATGTAATTAAATTAGTATATATGTGATTTTTTGAAAAAAAAAAATATTGTAAGCCACGTAATTATATTGCATTATGTAATTAAACAAAGTTGTTGATATTTTCTCCATAAATTACTAAATTTGTAGTTAAAGTGTTGCAATTATTGGTTATTTTTTTTTTAAAATATATACATGTAGTTATGTATTAAAATTAGTATATATGTGATTTTTGGAAAAAAAAAAATATATTGTATGCCATGTTATGTAATTGCATTATGTAATTGAAGAAAGTTGTTGATATTTTCTCCATACATTACTAAATTTGTAGTAAATAAAGTGTTGCAATTATTGGTTAATTTTTTTTAAATATATACATGTAGTTATGTATTAAAATTAGTATATGTGTGTTTTTTTTAAAAAAAAATATTGTAGGCCATGTAATGTAATTGCATTATGTAATTGAAGAAAGTTGTTGATGTTTTCTCCATACATTACTAAATTTGTAGTTAATAAAGTCTTGAAATTATTGGTTAATTTGTTTTTTAATATTAAAATTTAGTTATGTATTAAAATTAGTATATATGTGATTTTTTGAAAAAAAAATAAAAAATTATTGTATGCCATGTAATGTAGTTGCATTATGTAATTGAAGAAAGTTGTTGATATTTTTTTGGATTTGTTGTCATTTTAATTTGTTTTTTGAGTAAATCTTAGTAAAAATATTTATCTTTTGTTTTGTGATGCAGAATCTTTTAATGGATCCAAACAACCCAAATTTTCGTCAACAATTTTCTGGTTTTAGTGATGATTTCCTAACTAATCCCGAGTTTCAATTGTTCTTGCAAAGAATGGGCAATACGTCTTTGCAACCACCTCCACAATATCAGACACCTACTCAGTTTCCCCTACGAAACCATGTTAATGAAGAATGTACACCTGAAACTGAACATGATAGCAACACACAATTCGATGAGAGCGAAGAGGACAGCGTACCAGAGACGCTGCAATATCCTCCACCAGTTCCCGAACTGAAATCCAACCAGGTTGTTGCACGAGCAACTCGAATTTGGTCAGTTGCGGAAGATGAAACTCTGATTGGGTTGTACTTGGAGATCAGCGAGAATGTTATTAAAGGCACGAGCCAGAAAGCAACTTCCCTTTGGCGCGATGTACACGCAGCATATCAAATTGCTCATGCGGAGCCGCATATACTTCCACCAAGACCTATGAAGAGTCTGACGTCGCACTGGAGAAGGTTGGCAGCAGACACACTACAGTGGATATCTTGCTATGATGAAGCAGGTAGACTTCCGGAGGGAGGGAGTGGTTGCAACGAAGCTGACCGTATAAAAAGTGCGTTGAAGCTTTTTCATCTCGCCCAAGGTCGTAATTTCGCTTTTCCTCACGCGGTTGAAATGCTTAATAGAGATCCAAAGTGGAGGCCGAAGCTGAGATGGTCCTTGTCAAAGAAGGAAAGAAAAGTTGTTCGTGATGTTGAGGAGCAAGGTAGTGCTGGAAGTGGGAAGAGGTCCAGAGATGATGGAGGGGATGAAACCCCTACGGATGGTTTTTCATCTGGAGGAATACAACGACCCGAAGGTGTAAAGAAAGCAAAGGCCAAGCGTAAAGTCTGAAAATGTTTTAGCTTTTCTTTTCTTTTCTTTTCTTTTTCTTATCAAGTTTTATTATTTTTAGGATATTTTGGTTTTTAACACCTCACAAATGTCTGAAATTTTTTTTAACACCCCCCAAAAAAAACTTTTATTTTAACACCTCGTAAAGTTTTAAAAATTTGAAGTTAACACCAAAATCTTGTCTCCGTTAACGGAACTGTTACTGGGTCCCACTCCAACGGATAGTTTTTTGATAACTTTGTATATATGCACGTTTTTTGCACGATTCTCCCCCAATTTCCCCCGTTTGTAACCAAATCTTTGTTCGAATTGAGTATCAAAAACCAAATCTCACCCAATCAGATCGCTTTGCATATCAGAAACGAAAACCAGAGAATCGTTGTTTGATTTTTGAGCAGGGGATGAAACTGAATCTGCTGAAACAGGTATGTGCGTTGATACGATGAAAACGAGTAATGTGTAATCAAATTATGAGAATACTGTTCGTTTGGTTGGTAATTAAAGTTTAAATTGATGACGTTTACTATTTAGAATTGTATTGGAATGGAATTGATGGTTGGATTGTGTTATGTTTGTATGTAACTGGCCAATTTGTAAATTAGGGTTCCTCACAAATTTAAATTGGGGCTTTTCGTGTTAGGTAATTAAAAAATAAAATTGTTGGTGACAATGTTAATTCGTTAGTGTACAAATTCATAACTGTGATTGGTGATCTTAAATGAATGCAGACTATGTCGTTTGTTAGCTCTTCCCCTTCTAAGGAAAAAAAATGTCAGTGTGATGTGCCCATGGCCAAGCTTACTAGCTGGACAAGAGAGAATCCAGGCAGGAAGTTCATATCTTGTAAGTTCTATGACCCAATCACAGAAACAAGGGGTTGCAAAGCTTTCGAATGGGTTGATCAACCTGATGGAACAGATTGGCAAACAGGGGTTATCAACAACCTGTTGTTGGATAAGAAGCTGCTAAAGGGTGAAGTTAATGAATTGAAAAGGGAAGTTGATGAAATCAGTGGCCAAAGGAGGTGCCTACTTAATGAAGTTGATAGTTTGAAGATTAGATGCAAGGCCCTGAACGCTGACAGGAAGAGAATGAACAGGGAGGGCAATGCAGGGAAGATGTCTTCTAATGGTTTATCAATGAACAAGGTGGGCATGGCCATTTGTATTGGTTTATCAATGGTTGTAGTTTTTCTAATGGTTAGGGGTGTTTAATAGTAAGATGTATGTAGTTTTAGTGTTATATATTTATGAAATGTTATGAGATTGCTTGTAGTGTTACATATTTATCACTTGCATTTACTGTTAAAAATGAAAATGTTTAAAGTTGCACATAATAAGCACTTCAAAATAACACATTGCAAATGTACATTACATTCAAAATGTAACAAAGTACTTCAAGTGCATGTTTGCACTAAAACCTTACTTGAAACTGTTTTAATGGCAATCAAAGCCATTCAAAAACTACAAGTTTATATCCAACTGTTTAAATGGCAATCAAGGCCACAAAATAACTAAGTTGT